GTGCACACCTGTAGTCCCAGCTACTCGGGAGGCTGAGGCAGGAGAATCACTTGAACCCAGGAGGCAGAGGTTGCAGTGAGCCAAGATTGTGCCACTGTACTCCAGCCTGGCAACAGAGTGAGATTCCGTCTCAAAAAAAAAAAAAAAAAGGTTGTATTTAAAATTAAAAAACAGCTTTATTGAGATATAATTCTCATGCATGCAATTCATACATTTAAAGTGTATAATTAGGCCTGGCATGGTGGCTCATGCCTGTAATCCCAGCACTTTGTGAGGCTGAGGCCGGCAGATCACATGAGGTCAGGAGTTTGAGACCAGCCTGACCAACATGGCAAAACCCGGCTCTACAAAAAATACAAAAATTAGGCAGGTGTGGTGGCAGATGCCTGTAATACCAGCTACTACGGAGGCTGAGGCATGAGAATTGCTTGAACCTGGGAGGTGGAGGCTGCAGTGAGTTGAGATTACGCCACTGCACTCAACCTGCGCAGCAGAGTGAGACTCCGTCTCAAAAAAAAAAGTGTACAATTAGATGGTTTTTAATATGTGGCCCTTCGTGTCTGGCATCCTTCAGGTAGCATCATGTTTCCAAGCTTCATTCACGCTGTAGCGTGTTTCAGTGTGTCATTCCTTTTTATGGTTTGATACTGTTCCAGTGTATGAATCTACCATATTTTATTCATCTGTCTGTCAATGGACATGTTGGTTGTTTCCACATTTTGACTATTATGAGTAACGTTGCTGTTAACATTCATGTTTGCATTTTATTTAATTTTTTTTTTTTTTGAGACAGAGTCCTGCTCTGTTGCTCAGGCTAAAGTGCTAAAGTGCAGTGGCTCAATCTTGGCTCAATGCAACCTCCGTCTCCCAGGTTCAAGTGATTTTCCTGCCTCAGCCTCCTGAGTAGCTGGGATTATAGGCGCCTGTCACTGTGCCTGGCTAATTTTTGTATTTTTAGTAGAGAGGGGCTCTCACCATGTTGGTCGGGCTGGTATTGAACTCCTGACCTCGTGATCCACCTGCCTCGTCCTCCCAAAGTGTTGGGATTACAGGCGTGAGTCACCGTGCCCGGCCATGTTTAAATTTTTGTGTGGATGTAGGTTTTGCATTTCTCTGGGTGTGTGCCTAGGAGCTGACATGCTGAGTCATATGGTATCTCTATGTTTAGTCATTTGAGGAACTGTCAGACTGTTCTCCAAAGCAGCAACACCAGTTTACATTCCCATCAGCAAGGCGTGAGGGTTCTGATTTCTTCACATCCTCACCAATACTTCTTGTTATTTGACTTTTTTGACTCTAGCCATCTTAGTGGGTAGGAAGTGGGAAGTGGTATCTCAGTGTGGTTTTGATTTGCATTTCCCTGATGACTAGTGATGTGGAGCATCTTTGTATGTGCTTATTGGCCATGTGAATGTCTTCCTTGGAGAAATGTCTATTCCGATTCATTGGCCATTTAAAAAGTTGGATTATTTGTCTCTTTTATTATTGGATTGTAAGAATTTCTTATATATTCCAGAAATGAGTCCCTTTTCAGATACAAGATTTGAAAATATTTTATTTCATTCTTTGGGCTGTCTTTTCACTTTCTTAATGATATCCCTTGAAGCACAAAAATTTTTACTTTTTTTGAAGTACTGTGTTTCAGTATTTTCTTTTGTTGCTTTTGCAATTGGTGTCATACCAAAGAATTCTTTGTCAAATCTAAGGTCATGAGGATTCCCCCTGTTTTCTTTTAAGATGTTATAGCTTTAACTTTTATATTTAGGTCTTTCATCCGTTTTGAGTTAATTTTTTTATATGGTGTGAGGTAAGGGTTCAATTTTATTTTTTTTCTCTTCTTTTATAGGTGGCTCCACTGGGATCCAGTTGTCCCAGCATCATTTGTTGAAAGACTATCATTTCCCCACTGAGAAGTCTTGACATCCTTGTTGGAAATCAGTTGACCATAGATGTGAAGGTTTATTTCTAGACTTTCAGTTCGAATCCATAATGAAGCCAGTACCACACTATTTTGATTATTGTTGCTTTTTAGTAAGTTTTGAAATCAGGAAGTGTGGGTCTTTCAACTGTGTTCTCCTTTTCCAAGATTGTTTTGGCTATTCTGGGTTTCCTGCAATCCCATACGACTTTCAGAATCAGCTTCTCGATTTCTACAAAGACATCAGTTGGGATTCTGATAGGAATTTTGTTGAACTGGGAGATCATTTTGGGGAGTACTGCCATTGTAACGATGTCAAGTCTTTCAATCCACGAACATGGGATGTCTTTCCATTTATTTAAAACTTCTTCAATGTTTTTCAGCAATGTTTTGTAGGGTTCTAAGTTTTACATTTCTTTTGTTATGTGTATTCCCAAGTATTTTATTCATTTTGATGCCATTGCAAATGGAATTATTTTCTTAATTTAGTTTTTGGATCACTCATTTCCAGTGTATAGCGATGAAACTGGTTTTTACAACAGTGATCTTGTATTATGCTATATTTCCAAACTCATTTGCTAGTTCTAATAGTTTTTAAGTGAATTCCTTAGGATTTCCTGTATATATGGTCATGTTATTTGCAAATAGAGATAGTTTTATGTCTTTCTTTCCAAACTGAATGCCTTTTATTTCTTTTTCTTGTCTAATTGCCCTGGAAACTCCAATACACTGGTGAACAGCAGAGTGAGAGTGGACATCTTTGTCTTTTTTTGTGACCTTAGTGGGGAAGTATCCAGTATTTCACCATGAAGTATAATTTTAGCTGTGGGTTTTTCATAGATGCCCTTTCTTTGGTTGAGAAGTTTCTATTAGTAGCTTGTTGAGCATTTCTATCATGGAATGAAGTTAGGATTTTGTCAGATTTTTTTTTTTTTTTTTCCTGCATGTGTTGAGATGATCATGTGATTTTTGTTTTCTGTTCTGGTGATATGAGGTATTCCTTAATTGATTTTCAAATGCTCAACCAATCTTGTATTCCTAAGATAAATCCCACTTGGTCATAGTATGTAATTCTTATTACAACTGCTAAATTCAATCTGCTAGTATTTTGTTGAGGATTTTTGCATCCATATTAATAAGAAATATTGCTCTGTAGTTTTGTTTTCTTGTGACATCTTTGTCTTGCTTTGGAAGTGTATAATACAGGTCTTATTAAATGTTGCACATTCTTTACAAAAAACAAATCCCCAAGCTGTCATTTAATACATTTTTCCAGGGATCAACATAAAATTTTACTAAAGTCTCCAGTCCAGAGGAACAGGGGTAGCAGATAGCTAGGACGTGCCCTTTAAGTGTGTTAAGACAACGATCAGCTGCCCTCAGCACCAATGTCTGTCAGCATCGGCATCTTGGGTAGAACCAGTCAGATGGACAGACACCCGGTGTGGGAGCATGGGTTCTGCCTGGCACTGAGAGCTCCTAAAGGCTTGTCTTGGGCACAGAGTGTGAGGTACTGTCTTCTTGCTGGTGCTGAAATTTACGTGTCTGCTGTGTCTTTCTTGCCAGGGCTGGTCCCAGACATGCTTCTAGACATTACCACATCCCTTCTAGGAAGATGCTGAACATTTCCAGGGACAAATTGGAGCCTGAAGCCTCAGAGCTACCAACAATGAAGGAAAGAAACAAACATTCCGGAGCCACAGTGGAAGCTGAGGACAAGAGAAAGGCAAGTGGGGCCAGGCCACACACACCTTGTTCCCACCTTTGAGCTTTTTATCTTCTTCTTCCGTTTCGTTTCTCATGTCTGTAAACCAGGGAAGAGAACGTCTCCTAGAGGTAGGGAGGAGGCAGGCACCACAGACATAAGTGGCCTCCATTTCCTTCTCGAGGACCAATCATGCAGGAAGCAGTCAAAGTTGGGGGCGCCAACAACAGCTGCTTAATGGGAAAGAACCCAAGGAAGCTTTCTGGCTCTGAAAAAAAAATAGAATTATAGACTGTTCTAGAACAAGGCATTTATGCTAGAATTCCATCTCAGTGACATTGTCATTCATGGAGCTGCTTGAGCCCAAATATTAAGAATCATCCTTGGCTCCTCTCCTTTCTTCCCTCTCCCACATCCAAACCACACCTTTGCTTGCCAAATCAACAGTAGCTGCTGTATGCTCCATGCCCAAAGCTGCTCAGAGCATGATCTCTTTTCAGCATCTTGACACTTCCTCCCCAGCCTAGGCCCCTCATGCTCCGGGAACTGTCTCACATCCACATCTCAGACCTTAGGCTCGTGGGCTCCTTGACTGGGAAGGTGTTCCTGTCTCCACGGCCAGTCCTCCCCGAATCCCTCCATCTCAGAGAGGCCTCCTCTGCCCCTGCATCCCCGTCTCCTCATCCTGCTTCATTTTTCTCCATCGCCTTTTCACAATGTGACCTTATACGTGACCTGTTTTCTCTCCTTTATACTATGATGGGGTGTGGGTAGGAATTTTGTTCATCCTGATCATAACTGGTGTATCCCTATCATTTATAAAAGAGTCTAACATATTCCAACAGGAAATTGCTGAATGAATGGATTAATACTACTAGAAGGAAAAACTGTTGACAAGGCCACTGTCTTAGTCCATTTGTGTTGCTATGAAGGAACACCTGAGGCTGGGTAACTTACACAGAAAAGAGGTTTATTTGGCTCACAGTTCTGCAGACTGTACAGGAAGCATGGTGCCAGCACTGGCTTCTGATGAGGGCCTTGGGAAGCTTTGCTGTTATCAGAAGGTGAAGGGGAACCCGCGTGTGCAGAGTTCTCATGGTGAGAGGGAAGCAAGAGTCAGGGAGGCACCAGGTTTCTTTGATAAACAGGTTTCACAGGGACGACTAGAGTGAGACTCACTGACTCATTACCATGAGGACCAGGCTAGTACCAAACCATGCATGAGGGATCTGCACCCATGACCTAAACCCCTCCCACCGGGCCCCACCTCCAGCACTGGGATTCAATTTCAACACTAGGCTTGGAGGGCCAAATACCCGGACCACAGCAGCCACCTGAGCCTGTCCACTCATGCAGCTCCCACACGGCTGGCGTCTTGGGGCGTGGCCTTGCCTAAGTGGTCCTGTCTGCCTCCCACCTCCAAAGAGCGGCCTGATGAGGCCTGGGGGCCGTGGTGCTGAATCCCTTGCCCATCACTCTTGGGGAGTTTCTTTAAGAGGCATCTCTGAGAAGGGCATTTGCCTAGGCCAAGTGGCTTCACTCTGCCCTCTCCTGTGAAACAGACAATCAGAGCTCCAGAGCTCCAGAGCTGGGAGGGGCTTTGGCCACATCCACCTCTTCATTTTAATGCTCACCAATCTGAGTCCCGGGGCTGGAAACTGACCTGCCAGGACACAGCGCTGGTGGGATGTAGAGCATGCCCCCTCAGCATCCCCTGGTAGGTCAGATGGATTTCCTTAAATACTATGAAGAAGCTGAAAGTCTAGGATGGAATATCTCCTTTGAAAAATGTTATTGAGGTTAGCACTGGGGGGATGATAAGATGAGATAAATACAACTTGCATTCTCAGCAGCTCTTTTCCAAAGAATGAATAAAATGTTCTTGACCACCCTCCTCCTCTGATCATACAGAAACCAGTGGGTGGGTTTTGCTCATATCAAAACCACCTGTGATTGGTGAGCAAAATTCGGACTTCCTTAGAAAGTCAAGGGTGAAGTTGGATGTAGAAACTCATCACCTTCATGGAACTGAATCCATTCCCAGCACTTACAGCTGAATAAATATTTGTTGATTGAGTGGATAAATTTATAATTTTAAGCCTCTGGCTCTCTTAGCTAATCCAGGAGTCCGGGGAAATCAGTCTCTGTGAAGTTTTGATCAAAGAGGCCTTAGATCCCTCTGGAACAAGGATGGATAGAAATAATAATAATTTTAAAGGTGGGCCACCAGTGCCGGGGAAGGAAGGGAAGTGCTGTTTCCCACATTCAGCAGGTACCCGACCACTGCCTGCTACAGGCATGGTTGTGGGAGGCCAAAGAGGACGAGAAGTGAATCCCCGCCGTAAAACCGTTCCCAGCCGAGTGGAGGAGAGAGGGTGTGAACACACTCCCAGGACGCCGTGCTGTGGCTGGGTTTTTGGTGCAGTAGATTGAAAAAGGGAAAAAACGTGGCAGGTGGGAAACCCCTTGGGTCAGTCCAAGAATCTCCAGCCACATGAGCATAACCTCTGACATTTATGTATTTATTTATCTATTTGAGATGGAGTCTTGCTCTGTTGCCCAGGCTGGAGTTCAGTGGCGTGATCTCAGTTCACTGCAACCTCCGTCTCCCAGGTTCAAGCGATTCTTCTGCCTCAGCCTCCCAAGTAGCTGGGATTACAGGTGCACTGCCATGCCCAGCTAATTCTGTGTTTTTAGTAGAGACAGGGTTTCACTATGTTGGTCAGGCTGGTCTCCAACTCCTGACCTCAAGTGATCCACCTGCCTCGGCCTCCCAAAGTGCTGGGATTACAGGCATGAGCCACCGTGCCTGGCCAAGCCCTTACATTTATATCACACTTTTCCTAGGGGCTCCCTTGCACATTATTTCTAATGCAATAGACAGATGCATTTGTCCTTCTCACAGTGTAATTCACTACGTTTTAATGAACTCTTCTTCTTGTATTAATGCATGGCACGTGCACACCAGAGGGCTTCCAACAGGGGAAGGGGGAAGGGGGCGTCTCCTTCCCAGCCCAGGCGCTCATACATCTTCCTAGAACTCAGCCACTGTCACCGGGAACTTGTTTGTCCTTTCCAAAGCCAAGCGTGTGCACTGACGCAGAACTGTGAACTTACAGGATGGGTGAAACAGACAACGCACGCGCTCGATAACCCTCCCCGCTGTATGAGTGACGGCAGTGCTTGTTGGTGGTGAAAGAAGTCAGCCCTTGTCCTCTTTAACTGTATGAAAGTTGAGGAATAGAAGTCTCCAGGTCCATTACCACAGGTTCAGGGCAGTCCCAGTCGTGGTGAAAAGGTTTAAGGCCTTGGGGGCATATTGGTCCATAGTGGGGCAGTTGGGGCAATGCCGCGATGCTTGGGGTGGGCCAAGAGGAGCACCCCCGGCCATCCAGCCTGCTGGGCACTGGCTCAGGCTCTTGTTTGCCAAGACGTTTCAGCCCCACCACATTTGATTTATTTCGGTCCCAGTCTCTGTTTAAATCCATTTAACAGCTTCCAGTGGCCTTCAGGAAAAACCCCCAAATCCTTGGCCCGACATCCAAATCCGTCTACACCTGGGTTCAGGCTCCACTTCGGAGCTTGTAGCCCCTGCCCAGCCCGGAGGCAGGTGTGCGAGGCCAAGCTCCTGCCCCTCCCTGCCCACCCTGGAGAGCCCCGAATTCTCTCCTCCTCCCTGCTCACGGGCACTGCCCGAGACCCAACCCTCCCTCTGCTCCCCCTACACCTTCCCACTAGTGTGGACGTCCCCTTTTCTGGATTCCTATGGCTTCAGCAATGCGTTTGCTGCCTTCATGTCTAGGACCCTTTGGGGCGACTTGCTGTCTGACTTGTTTCTGAAGGGCAGGGCGCTGTTTATTTTGCGTCTCTGAATGTGGAGTAGAGAATTTTGTTCCATGAAGGTACTTACATAATAATTTATTAAAAGAAAAAACCCCTCAGCTGTTTGAAATTTTTTCTCCCAGAAGGAGACCTGTTTTCATGGGACCAGGTCTGAAAGTGGATTTATTTTAGATGCTCACAGGAGGAGGGTGACAGGGAGGCTGTGTCCAACTGTCACCACAGTGTGGAGACACGTTTGGCACCTTGGATCACCTCCAGCTGGGGCTGTCCCGCAGCCGCCAGGCCCACACCCTAAAGGATGTACGCTCTGTGGTTTGAAGGAAATTAAAGGAAATGTGGAGAAACCCCTGCAGACAGAGGCCGGGTCCTGCTGCCACAGCTAGACTTTCCTGACGGATGAGGAGCGCCAGCCATACTCTTTTTGCTTTGATGTAGGGGGTATGTATGTATTTTGGGGGACTGGGGAGGGAGGACTGAGGCGGACCCACTCCTGGCCAGGCCTGAAACCCTCCCATTGGCACCCCTGTTTGAGCACCAGCTCACTGCATGTGGTCTGGTGCCCATCACCCAGGCTGTGCCAGGGCTGGGGGTGGCACTCGTAAGAGGTGACACTGTCTCTGGGCCTTGCCACCCACCCCTCAAACCCGGCATTTTGTGAATGAAAGCAGGGCTTAGTTGGGGCAAGTGTGCCAGCGAGGGGGTCCGCACGGGGCCTCCCAGCTCAGGGTTTATTAGGAGCCTTGATCATCTGTGGTGCCATTTCCAAACTCCCTCTCCCTCACTCAATGCCCTGAACCTCATTCTTTCCCACACCCCGGTGCTTGGGTGAGAAACGGGGTGTTAATGAGTGTTGGCTTGCTGGCCATGGGCTGGGAGGGGTTTCCCCCTCGCCCCTGACCCTGCACGACCCTGACCCCCTGACACTGCATGACCCTCATCCACTGAACAAACAGCTGCCTCTCCCTTTGAACCTGTCCTGGTTCTTGGTGGCCCAAGAGTGCACCATGTCCATCCTCCCACCCTCAGAGTCCTGGCTTCTGGGGGGCGTAAAAGCCAGAGGAGCCGAGGCCCTGGCCCACGCTCGGAAGCACCTGAGGCGCCGGCCCAGGCTCGGAAGCACTCTTTCGGCCTGGAGATGTCGGCTGCAGCTCCCCATGTGGCCTGTCCCCTCCCGCTGTCCATTAATCTTGCGCCGACACCCTCTTTATGCTGCTGGAAAAATCGAAACGCCAGGAGGCGGGAGGCGGGGAGAATCCCTCATCAGCAGCGTTTATGGTATTGACTTGCATCTCATTGACTGTGTCAACAAGCGCTTGGCATCTACATCTGGGAACAGCCTATAAAATTAGGAAAGCTGAGCGGCCATTGAAATCTCATCACTTCGGATTCACCAGCCACATAGCCCTGAACAGGAAGATGAAAAGTACCTTCTTCCCAGCGCTCGGCCAGCTCTGGGCCTGGTGAAGACGGCACAAAACCGCAGCCATGAAACAAAAAGTGAATAGAACTAGTCACCACTCAGGCCTGGGGCCTCAGCTGGAAATGACCTTCAGAATTCAACGGAGGAGCCTTTCGTATGCGGGAGACGAAGAAGGATGGGGCGTCATTGTTCGAGCTTGAACACTGCACAAAGGACGATCAGGAGGCAGCAATGCGTGTGCGACCCGTGCCGGGCAGGGAGGGAGGTCCTCAAGAGGCCTCTGCGCGGGGTGGTGCCCTGTGTGCCTCTGGAAATGAGGCAGAATTTGTGGTGCCGTCGTGCCCGGTCTTCCTACCCACAGAAGAGTGGATCAGGTTGGAAGTCAGTTTTCCATTTCACAGGAGAGTGGGAGTATGGCAAGAGACCCTCGGAAATAGTGGAGTTTTGCTCCTGCACAAAAATAAGACCCTGCTCTGCGGATGTGAGTGAGCCAAGCATGTCTGTGCTTCCGTCTAGAGGAGCCGGGAGCTCTGGTCGGCCCGGGTGTCTCGCAGCCTTGTGGCTGGCTCTGTCCACAGGGTCCACGAGCTGGAGAGGCACGGATAAAAATGCTTTTCCCCTGACAGAGCGTGTGTGGTGGGCTGACTACGGTTTATCTGTGAGCACAGAGGTGTGGCCTGCTCCCCCCACAGGCGGTGACCCCGCAGAAGGGACACTTCCGCCCTGATCTGTTTGCAGAGGACAAGGGCTGTCATGCTCCTCTGAGGTTGAGACTTCAGCCAGCAAGGCAGCAGGGTAGAGCAGGGCTTCCGAGCCAGCCACACGGGGGTCGCTGGAAGCTTTGTGCTTTGCCGACCCTGTGACCCGAACAGCCATCCACCTCTCCAAGCCCCAGCGTCCTCGTCTGTAAAGTGGGGTGATAGTGGCTGCCTGACATGAGTGAGACTCTTGTTTGCTAAGCACTGTCACGGGTGGGAAGCGATTTCTTTCTGTGTTGGAGCGGCTTATCCTATCCCTGCGCACTGTTGTGTCCCTGGGAGAAGCACAGGTGAGCAGAGGAGGGCTCACCTGGGCTGGTGCGGCCAGGTCTGCAGGGCCCTTTCATGGGCTCCTTAATGTGGTTCGTGTGGCCTCCAGATTTACGGCTGAATTCTCTCTTCTGAGCATGTCGCTGGCTGACCAACACTCTACCGGGGGACTGCGGTTCTGGGAAAGGGAAAGGTGCCTGCTGGCCAGCGGGTTCACCTCACACATCCACGGTGTGTGGGGCTCTGGCCGGCTCTGGGTGGGCGTCCCCTCTTCTCCTGGATGCCGCCTGCGCTTTTGCTTAGGAGAATTAGGTGGGCTTTTTGGGCCACGGCTTCCTCATCCCTGTCTGTGCATGCATCTGTGTGTGCACCTGTGCACATGTGTGTGCCTCATGTGTGCATTTGTGGGAGTGCAAATGTGTACGTGTGTGTTCCTGCAGTGTAGAGGGGGAATGTGTGTGGGGCTGGAGATAGATAATCTTTAAATAAGATCTCCCAGACTTAAAATTCTCTTATTATGTAAAATTTATTTTTATTTATTTATTTTGAGACAGGGTTTCACTCATGTCGCCCAGGCTGGAGTGCGGTGGCATGCGCTCAGCTCACTGCAACCTCCGCCTGCTGGGCTCAAGCAATTCTCCAGCCTCAGCCTCCTGAATAGCTGGAATTACAGGCGCACGCCACCACACATGGGTAATTTTTGTATTTTTTGTGGAGATGGCGTTTCACCACTTTGGCCAGGCTGGTCTTTAACTTCTGGGCTCAAGTGATCCACCCACCTAGTCTCCCAAAGTGCTGGGATTTACAGGGGTGAGCCACTGCGCCCGACCTATTATTATGTTAATTTAAAATAAGCAAATACTTGAGTGCCTCTGTACCAGGCACTGTTCTAGAAGCCAGGAGCTACGCCCTTCTCCACCTGCTCCCGCACTTCCTCCTTCTCTCAACTCCACCATTGCCTCCTCCCTCCCCTTGTTCTCCCCGCCAGCCCCAGGGACTTGAAGCACTCAGACTGTTGGGAACTGCCTGCCTCCAGCCATCGGCCAGTGGCCAGCACCCCGGGTTCAGCCCTCTGCCAGCGCAGGCTCAAGGCCCCACGCCCACGCAGCCAATCCTCACATGACAGTTACCAGAGGCGACTTGAGCTCAGGCACCTCGGCTGGCATGTGCTCCACCCTCCAGGGTTTGGGACATGACAGGCACCTCGGCTGGCACGTGCTCCACCCTCCAGGGCTGGGGGCATGATGGGCACCTCAGTTCGCACATACTCTATCCTCCAGAGCTCGGGACGTGACCGACACCTCGGCTCAGACATACTCCACCCTCCAGGGCTCAGGGCAGGACGGGCACCTCAGCTGGCATGTACTCCACCCTCCAGGACTCAGGGTGTGATGGGCACCTCGGCTGGCATGGACTCTATCCTCCAGGGCTCTGCGCAGGCGCTCTGCTTGCGGGAGGCCAGGCTGCACTTTCAGGCATTATTCGGATTTCATTTTCCACATGAAAATCTTTAGAGCTCCATCTCTTGGAAGCCAAGGAAAAACTGGCTCTTAAGGTAAAGGAAGGCACGTTTGCTGGGGTGATGGGAAGACACTTTGCTACTGCTGAACCTCCAAATTTACCTGCAGAAGCTGGCACAGCCTTTTCGGTCATTTGGAGAATTACCGTATTCACTGTCATTTGCTCAGGGCCATTGTGCATTCGCTCAGGGCCATTGTGCACTTTTGTTTCTCTGATCACTAACAGGCCTCACGTTTCCAGCGTTTCCAGTTTACAGTGTTGTACGGGGATTTCCACGTATTTCAGTCGCTTATTAGCTTTTATGGCTTCACGGTGAGCCGTGGTGTCTGAGACATCCTGCTAGATGGTTCTGCAGTGGGCGGGGCTTTGAAGACAGGCCTGAAAACGTTCCAGCTCTTGCTGGAAGGACATAATTTCTGAACACGTGAGGGGTCTGAGTTTCTTTACGACAGCAGCTTCTATTGGGTGAAACGGTCAGAAAACCATTGCTCTAGTTAACATTTCAGATAGTTGCAAGTCACTCCATTTACCATACATATTTTACAAGTTTCCAGAGTTAAAGTACAGAAGCGGCCTTGCTTCCAAATACGAAGTGTGTAGGTGCGTCGGTTGTTTCAAATGCAGAATGTGTTTTCCTCAATGACAACGTCATAAATGCTGTTGAGATTCCCAGGCCAACTCCTAGAAACCCTTAATAGTAGAAAACAATAGGGGGAAACACCAGTAATTAGACAGAACAGAATACAATACGAATTTTTAAAAGTTATTTTGATCCCTGGTGGTCAAACGAAAAACATGATCATGGGAGGCCATGGAAGGTGAGCCGTCGGTATTCTGAAGGGAAGCCGGGATCCATCCAAGGGCTTTCGAGATGAAAGGTGCTGTTTCCTTAATATGTCTAGTTGCACTTCGAGATTTATGGCTTAACTTTGTCTTGTAAAAATTGAATGTTAGCTTTATTCTTATGATTTTCGGAAGCAATCAGAGAAATTTTTAATTTACAAGGAGGGGAAACAGGCAAACAGAAGAAGGGAGAGAGACAGGCATCTGCGGAGACTTCCCTGGAGAGCAGAGGCCAGAGACAGAAGAGGGAGGGCGTGGAGTGGTTGCCTAGGACTTGCCCAGGAGATCCCTGTAAGAAGGAAGAGTTTTCTCAGCTGAGCATTGAGCCAGCTGGTGTGTCAGGGGCAGCTTAGTTCATTGTGCTGGGTCCTCTCCTGAGCACAGGAAGACTGCACTGTCCCCTCTTCTCTGGAGTCTGCTGGGGCCTCCTGTGTGACCTGTGTCCGGGCCTGGCCCTAAAACATCCCACCAGCCTCTCAGCCCTCTCTTCCCTCTGCAGCAGGAGCAAAGGCCACGTGGGGGAGATGATACGTCACAACACACAACTGCCTACTCTGTGTACCAGGCAGCATGGCCCTGAATCACCGTGTGGACACGAGCCGCAAGGGGACCCACTTCCCAGTGGATGTTGCACGAGCAAGCAGGAAAGCTCTTCTGTGAGCCCCTGAGGTTCAGGGCTTTTTTTTTTTTTTTTTTTTTTTAGTACTATGGCTAGTGGGATGTATCCTGACTAATGCCGACAGCACAGGGAGCCTCTGCCTGCCAGAGCAAGTGGTGAGGCAGAGACGGTGCATTGTGTACTTTCTGTTGCTGTTTTAGGACTGCTTGGGTGAGTCCAGCATTAAAAATCAGAATGGGAAAAAGGAGAGGAAACCCGGAAGTGTCTACATGGGAAAGCCGGGGTCTGCAGAAGGCTGTTTTTGGAAGGCACGTAGCAGTTGGAGGTTTACATTTCAGGATTTGCCTTACATTAAAATGCAATTTCTTTGTTAATTCTGTTCACTTATTTAACTCACATGGATTAACTGCCTATTCTGTGCACCAGACGTAGTTTGTTCCAGGAAAGTGCTGCTGAACCAGGTAAACACGGCCCCCTTCTCCAGGAGCAGAGGCTGCAGACACAGGGAGACAATGAGGCAATGGCATGCTAGGGGGAATCGTGCTACAGTGAAAGCATCCTTCGATCATTTTTAAGTC